CTTCAGGTGAAACACTAAACCAGGTCAGCTCCCGTTTATCTACAGCCTGACACTAAAAATCACTTCAGATTTGTACTTAAGAATGAAACTGCTGCAGTCTTTAGTAATCGTTAAATAACACAACAGGATACATCTGGTTACACGTGTTATTACAGAGGCATAGCATCAAACTGGCCATAACTAACCCAGAGTGCTCAGCAGAGCAGCTCCGTTTTTAAAAAAAAAAACAAAATAAAAATAAAAATAAAAACACAGTCGTGTTCTTAGCCGGAAAATAAACCTCCAGGCTGGACTTGCATAATACTTATTTCCATTTATCCCAGCTGCTAAAAAATGCAGACATTCCAAACGTGTTGTCTCCACCTTTATGTTACCCTTCAGCTCACCTTCATAGCACACGTGCAGAATCTTTCCTCGATGACAACAGAGCGCGACACTTAGCTGCACCCCCGTGCTTCACATGCTGTGGTTCACCTGTATCCCAGTCAAAGTACCAAACAAGATGATGCAGAAAATACTTCAAAAGGCATCAAAATGAGCCCTTTGCTTTGTTGCTGGTCCCATTTTTTCTCACGAGTCGACATAACCAGACACTAACCACGCAAAGCAACAATAATTACAATATACAAACCTCCCTTTCATTATATCCCTTAAACTGAGGTGAGTGGTACGCATATCGATACTAGAAAAAGCACAAACAGAGAAGCTGAAATACATTAATACTAATCTGGTAGTTTCATTCAGTCTCCAGTTGTTAAAGTTCAAACGTTTACTTTACACACGACACCAGAGGCCCAGCCCCCGGATAAACAGAGCTCTGCTCATTTTCCGTTCATCTCCACAGGACCACCTTTAGGTATGAGCAGGCTGATGCGGCCCGCTGTGCTCGCTGCACTCTTGATCACCTCCATCCATCTGTGGAGAGAGGACAGCGGGTACCGTTTCAGCACCATCCGACTCCAGGTCAGCCCCGCCTCATTTATCGCTCCAACAAACCTTTCAAAGGTGTACTCGCTCTCTGCTCGGAAGAAGTACACGTGCGACTTGAACTGCAGCTTGAAGACGTACTCCTTGTGGATGCCGTCTGACTCATCGGGGGTGCTGACCGTGTAGCCGAGCAGCGGGAGGCTCGCTAGAGGAAAGTCGTCCTGGAAAAGATGAACACGTCTCAGCACCTGCGCTGTAGGCGGAGCTTTAAATCTGAACGTGAGCGTGCGCTGGCCCACCTGGTGAGTCTTATAGAAGAACAGGCAGAAGTTGGTGAAAACAACCCAAAGTTTCTGCCAGCCATTGCTGTTCTTGAACTTCCTCAGGAGATAGCCGGACAGCTGGTTCTAGCAGACGGAAAGCAGAAGCTGGAATATAGAATCAGCGTTGTAGAACGTGTCGGTGCACGCTGTAACCTGCACAGGTGTTACAGAGCAGGGGCTGTCCCAGTTTCTGTCTGCCTCATGTCAACACACACACACCCTCACATGCACAACCAACACACACCCTCACATACACAACCAACACACACACCCTCACATACACAACCAACACACACCCTCACATGCACAACCAACACACACACACACACCCTCACATGCACAACCAACACACACACCCTCACATACACAACCAACACACACACCCTCACATACACAACCAACACACACACCCTCACATACACAACCAACACACACACCCTCACATACACAACCAACACACACACCCTCACATACACAACCAACACACACACACACACACACACACACACACACACACACCCTCACATACACAACCAACACACACACACACACCCTCACATGCACAACCAACACACACACCCTCACATGCACAACCAACACACACACCCTCACATACACAACCAACACACACACACACACCCTCACATGCACAACCAACACACACACCCTCACATACACAACCAACACACACCCTCACATACACAACCAACACACACACCCTCACATGCACAACCAACACACACCCTCACATACACAACCAACACACACACACACACACACACACACACACACACACACACACACACACACACACACACACCCTCACATGCACAACCAACACACACACCCTCACATACACAACCAACACACACCCTCACATACACAACCAACACACACCCTCACATACACAACCAACACACACACACACACACACACACACACACACACACACACACCCTCACATACACAACCAACACACACACACACACCCTCACATGCACAACCAACACACACACCCTCACATGCACAACCAACACACACACCCTCACATACACAACCAACACACACACACACACCCTCACATGCACAACCAACACACACACCCTCACATACACAACCAACACACACCCTCACATACACAACCAACACACACACCCTCACATGCACAACCAACACACACACACACCCTCACATGCACAACCAACACACACACCCTCACATGCACAACCAACACACACACCCTCACATGCACAACCAACACACACACCCTCACATGCACAACCAACACACACACCCTCACATGCACAACCAACACACACACCCTCACATGCACAACCAACACACACACCCTCACATGCACAACCAACACACACACACACACCCTCACATACACAACCAACACACACACCCTCACATACACAACCAACACACACACACACACTCACACATACACAACCAACACACACACCCTCACATACACAACCAACACACACACACACACTCACACATACACAACCAACACACACACCCTCACATACACAACCAACACACACACCCTCACATGCACAACCAACACACACACCCTCACATGCACAACCAACACACACACCCTCACATGCACAACCAACACACACACCCTCACATGCACAACCAACACACACACCCTCACATGCACAACCAACACACACACCCTCACATGCACAACCAACACACACACCCTCACATGCACAACCAACACACACACCCTCACATGCACAACCAACACACACACCCTCACATGCACAACCAACACACACACACACACCCTCACATACACAACCAACACACACACCCTCACATACACAACCAACACACACACACACACTCACACATACACAACCAACACACACACCCTCACATACACAACCAACACACACACCCTCACATACAAAACCAACACACACACCCTCACATACACAACCAACACACACACCCTCACATACACAACCAACACACACACCCTCACATACACAACCAACACACACCCTCACATACACAACCAACACACACACACCCTCACATACACAACCAACACACACACACACTCACACATACACAACCAACACACACCTCACATACACAACCAACACACACCTCACATACACAACCAACACACACCTCACATACACAACCAACACACACACACACACCCTCACATACACAACCAACCAACACACACACACACACCCTCACACACACAACCAACCAACACACACACACACACTCAAAAGTATGCATGCACACACACTCACTCACATACACAACCAACACACACCCTCACATACACAACCAACACACACCCTCACATACACAACCAACACACACACCCTCACATACACAACCAACACACACACACACACTCACACATACACAACCAACACACACACCCTCACATGCACAACCAACACACACACCCTCACATACACAACCAACACACACACCCTCACATACACAACCAACACACACACACACACTCACACATACACAACCAACACACACACCCTCACATACAAAACCAACACACACACCCTCACATACACAACCAACACACACACCCTCACATACACAACCAACACACACCCTCACATACACAACCAACACACACACCCTCACATGCACAACCAACACACACCCTCACATACACAACCAACACACACACACCCTCACATACACAACCAACACACACACCCTCACATACACAACCAACACACACCCTCACATACACAACCAACACACACCCTCACATACACAACCAACACACACACACCCTCACATACACAACCAACACACACCCTCACATACACAACCAACACACACCCTCACATACACAACCAACACACACACACCCTCACATACACAACCAACACACACACCCTCACATACACAACCAACACACACACACACACACCCTCACATACACAACCAACACACACACCCTCACATACACAACCAACACACACACACACACACACTCACACATACACAACCAACACACACCCTCACATACACAACCAACACACACACACCCTCACATACAAAACCAACACACACACCCTCACATACACAACCAACACACACACCCTCACATACACAACCAACACACACCCTCACATACACAACCAACACACACACACCCTCACATACACAACCAACACACACACCCTCACATACACAACCAACACACACACACACACACACCCTCACATACACAACCAACACACACACCCTCACATACACAACCAACACACACACACCCTCACATACACAACCAACACACACACACACACACACTCACACATACACAACCAACACACACCTCACATACACAACCAACACACACCTCACATACACAACCAACACACACCTCACATACACAACCAACACACACCTCACATACACAACCAACACACACCCTCACATACACAACCAACACACACACACACACTCACACATACACAACCAACACACACACCCTCACATACACAACCAACACACACACCCTCACATACACAACCAACACACACACCCTCACATACACAACCAACACACACACCTCACATACACAACCAACACACACACCCTCACATACACAACCAACACACACACCTCACATACACAACCAACACACACCCTCACATGCACAACCAACACACACACACCCTCACATACACAACCAACACACACACACACACACACTCACACATACACAACCAACACACACCTCACATACACAACCAACACACACTCACACATACACAACCAACACACACCTCACATACACAACCAACACACACCTCACATACACAACCAACACACACCTCACATACACAACCAACACACACACACACCCTCACATACACAACCAACCAACACACAACCTCACATGCACAACCAACCAACACACACACACACACCCTCACACACACAACCAACCAACACACACACACACACTCAAAAGTATGCATGCACACACACTCACTCACACACTCGCACGTACTCACACACAAACACACACACAACCAACACACTTGCATGCACAAACACACACATTCGCATGTGCACACACTCACATGCACGCACACACACAAGCACAACCAACACATGCACACACTCATATGTACGCACGCATGCACAATCCCTCACACACACACTCGCACGTACACGCACACACACACACTCACATGCAAGCACACACACACACACGCACAACCAACACATGCACACACTCACATTTGCTGTGTGTATTTGCTTCATGATCCCTCAAAATGCTAACTAGCAAACCCGCTATCACAAAACAAAAGCGGTGTTGCCTTAAATAGCTCTGCTCGATGAAAAATCAACGTTTTTCTTCATTTAACAGCAGGGAAGGCTGGTGTGTGATCAATTATGATCAAAAGTGGACCAAAAATTAAATAAATATTATATAATCTTGTATTCATTGTTATTTTCTTATTTAAGGGACAAACTGTTTTATTTTTAAGCCGTTTTTCCAACCATGGCACAACGGAGTGCGTTTCTGTTCCATACGCCGTCCTCGTCCTCTCATATTCGGTAAATTGGACTTCCTGCTGTACTTGCCATGAACATACTTGTCAAGTACACGAGAACGTACTAGCGTCTTTGGGTTTGAGGAACGGCCAGGGTAAACGTACTCAGAGTTTTCATGTTCCTGAGTAAAACCCGGATGTTGACTCCTGTTGGTTCACATAGCTCTTACCTTACTGCTGCATATTAAACGATGACTTCTTCTAATAGTTTAGCTGTAATTTTGTTTTTGATGATTAATAAAACACCCCGATAGTGTGCAAATGAGGTTATGGTCTTAAATGATCAGGTCTGCCAAGTTCTGTGTCCCTTTGTTCCCCAGCCCCTCCAGTTCCCACTCCAGGTTCTCCTTTTGTGTTTCATAGCGCCCTCATGTGTCCTTTGTCTGCATCTCATTTATGTGTCTCCTGTGTTCCTTTAGTCTTCTCCAGTCACCCCTCTGCAGTGTTTATAGTTTCAGCTTTTCATTTTTATTAGTCTCTTTAATATATTTTGTCCCACCGGTTTTTGTAGTTCTCCTTCCCTTTAGAGTTTCAGTTATATGGTTGCTTTTCTGTTTTTAGGTTCACTCTTAGGTCATGTTAGTTTCTTCCCTGATTAGTCATTGCTTTCACCTGGTCCTCCCCCCCCACTCCACATTCCTGCAGCTCATCTGCCTCCCATCATGCCCCAGTGTATTTAAGCCCTGTCTTTGTCTCTGTGTCTTGTCGGTCCATTGTTGTTTGTCAGTGTGAGTTGTTCTGTCAGTCTGCCCGTTCCCCTGGTGTTTTTGGATCTCCTGATCATTTCCTGATTTTTGGATGTTGGCTCCCTGCCTTTGGATTTATTTTTATTTTTGGACTCATCCTACAATAAAAGGATGTTTTTCTTCATATCCACTCCTGCCTCGTGTCATCCTGGGTTCTGCATTTTGGGTTCTAACATCCCTCTAAAACGTGACAAGGTCCCACCAGTGTTCCTCATCCCTGGACCTCTAACAGCCTGACTCAGCAACCGCTGACTCACAACTTTTACGGTTAAAAGGAGAATTATTTGTGCCTGTAAATCATCACATTCTGACCCTTTTTTTTAAGTTTAGCTTTTCAATTGATCCATACAAGCTGCTGGCTCTGGTACCTGGTTCATGCGCAGGTAATCAGTGAGAGAGAGGTTCTGGTTTCGGTACCAGCAAACATGTGTGATGGTGTTTGGCCTCTGTCCCTGACCAAGGAGGTAACGAGGAGGGAGCTCTGGCGAGACGGCCGGAGAGCCGAAGACTAAGAACGAAGAAGAGAAGGAGAAGAAAGTGTGCAGAGAACTGTTAGCATGTTAGCTCAGAGGAGGGCGGGGGAGGGGGAACAAATCCTCCATGTCTGTAAGAGGGAAATATCATTAGTGAATGTCTCATCGCATGCTTAGATTTGTGAAAAACATACAAAAAATACAGATCACACTCCAGTCACATGAAGGAGAGAGCAGGATGCCAAGGGAAGGAAGGAGCGTTAGAGGACAGGAGGAAGAAGAGGAGGAACGTTGAGATCCAGGCTGAGGATAGCCGTCATATCACCTCTCCTTAGACGCAAGGCGTTAGGATTTTCACACGTGTGTTTGGTTATGTACAAAGGTGTGTGTGCAGGTCGCTGAGGGTGGAGGAGTACCTCCACAGCCAGGCTGTGGTCAGACATAGACACACTGGTGTTGCGGTGCCAGCACACATGCATGGTTGTGTTGGCACGGTGGTGCGTCTGCTTGTCCAGGGAGGTGTGGGAGGAGTTCATGTCATCCTCAGACTCCTGCTCCTGCTCCAGAGAAACCTCATCGGATGATCCTGGGGGAGGAGGGGGAGGGCAGGAAGTTGTGCGGAGGAGAAGGATTAACTGTACATTCCATGTACTCGTGGCTCTAGGAAGCTTGCATTTGTCAAGGAAGATAAATAAATGAATGAGCCGGCGCACGTTTCAGCACTCTGCGCGCATGAAGGGTCAGTTCTTACGATTGGAGCAGTCGCTGAGGCTGGCGTCCAGGAAGATGTTGGATTTCTCTTCAGACTTCTTTGCCAAGTCGATGGCCACATTCAGATCCTCGATCCACTTCCCCATCTCCACTTTAGAGCTGCAATTACAATGACCTCTTAGCCATGTTTGACTGATTAAATAAAAAAAAGATAAAACAGTGATTTATGTTACTGTAATACAAACTTAAAGTACATTTTGTAAAAAAATTGTTTGGAAAACAAAAATGAATAACCAAAATAACCAAATATTTCTGTATTTTCAGCCTGATTTCCAATGATAGCGCTTCAAATCCCAAAATAGCTTTGTAGTGTGTGTGTGTGTTGGAATGCACACAACACACACACACACACGCACACACACCAGGGGTTGCATGACTTAATTTTCTTTTAAGTCGACAGTCAAGTAATGAAAATCGAGTCGACTAGTCGTTGATGACGTCATACACCTGAAGCTGGGGGGGGGGGGGGTCGTTAGGTTCGCTGGAGTTTTGACAATTAAAATTGCGCCCAAATCGGAAGAAAGAAAGAACTTTGTAAGTTAACATCTCTTTTAACAACGGTAGTTTCTGCTTCAGCCCTCTCCCCCCTCCCCCTGCTTCAGCCCTCTCCCCCCTCCCCCTGCGCAGCGGCCGCAAACTCACTGATGCGCCTGCAGCCTCTCGGAGTTCCTGCTGTTCTAAACATTAAAATAATTATTTCATTTCCTGTTCCTCACTTCTGATTACCTTCAATGGTGTCTGTTTGTTGCAACCAGCAGGTACAAAAACTAACTTGTTTTTATTTGACTATTTTTCTGTCCTGCCTGTTTATTATCTTCCTGCATCTCCTCTCAGTCCTAAAGAAAAACTGCTACCTGGGTTCATTTATATTCACCTCATGAGTTACCTTTGAACTGCAGTTCTAAAAGATCTACCGACCGCTAAAACAGCGGAGTGCCGCTGCTCGCCGGCCGACTACAACGGGACCGTTTTTGCTGCGGAGTCCGTGCCGGAGCGGAGATAGTGGAATTTTGGGGGTGCGTCACCGGAGGACAAAACAGGTGATGCGCCCCGCTCCGCAGCAGCGAAACGCATCAGGCACAAACAGAAAACATTAAAGGAAATGAGCCGACATGAACGATCGCGTGTTTAATTTGTTTTTGAGGTGGTGACACCTGATTTGGCGGTGCTCAGGATGCAGATGTCTGGAGCGCGTCAACGATCAGAGCTTTGCATGCGCAAACTGGTTAAGATTAGGATGGGGGTGAGGGGAAGGTTAAATTGCAAGAGGGAAAAGGTCACAGTTTAGTTAAATGTCCGTTTTACCGCCGGTGTCAGTACCGACGCTCTGGCACAGCGCGTCGCCTCCGCCTCCCGACGCAGGGGCTCATCACCTCCTGGAGGACTGCATCTTGTCAGTCATTATCACGTGACAGCGACTAGTCGATGACAGGCATAAAAAGTCACTACAGAGCCGTGAAATCGACTAGTGGACTAGTTCATACAACCCCTGACACACACACACACACACACACACACACACACACACACACACACACACACACACACACACCACGGCTCACCTGGCAGCCACCACTATGGTCCTCTGAGCCGAGTAAATGGTGAAACAGTGAGGGACGGACCATTCATTTTCACTTTCCTCCACCTGGAAATGATAACAGTGTGATATAGTAGGTGTTAGATAAAATAAACATTAGACAACTCTAATTTTACTTGGAAAATGATGATGGAGCATGACTGATCTCACACTGGGAAAAAATTACAGGAAGTGTGATCGTTCGAGGCAAAGCGCCTAAATGTCCGGAAGGAAACATTCGTGTTTACAGATGACTACATTTTGAGGTTGACACTGTTCAGCATGGCCACAAGAGAAAGAATGGGTGCAGTCCATTCTGTTTTACAGGTAGTGGGCTAAAGCTACATCCAAAACTTAATTTAATTGTTAATTTGACCAAACTTTAAATGAAAAAGACCCCAACATCCACCTGATACACAATGTAAACACTACTTCTTTTTATAGTTTCATCATTTAAACCATTTAAGTCTGAAGGTGTCAGATGGTTTGACCTGTACACAAACTACTATGCTATGTTTTAATGTGTTACTGTGTGAATTTTATCTTACTTCAGACCATAAGACAGTATCATTTAATGTTATGATAGTTTTGTCATTTACACCTTTTTACCTCTTAAAAATGATCAATTCTTGTAAGTCAGACACATTTCAAAGAGTTCAAAAAGCAGAAATTCAGCGCAAACAATGATGTTAACAAGTAATTACATTTAAACAAAGTGATGGACGATGTTACATGCTTAAAGGATAACCGTTTACAGGATGACACACGGTCTATGTGACAAAAACATCAAAGAATCTGCAGGTTTCTGTCTCAGTTGAGCATTAAGTCATGACATGATTCAAACTAGAAGAATTGCAGCGGGAAACTCAAGGTTTCTAATTATTACTCAGCGGACTCAGCGCTGAATCATCAGCAAATGCTGGAACCACAATGCAACATAAATTACACTAAACACCAAATATTCTCCAAAAATGACCAAATATTCTTAATTACAGCCAAATAAAAACATCCCTGCACACATCACTGATCTGTGGTTGGAGAAACATACAAACAATTATGAGTTGGTCTGCGAATCGCCAGTGGCGAATGGCAAAGTTAAGTAACCAGTCAAAACTTTATGGTCCTACACTTCAGGCAACACATGCAACGACTGAGCTCAGTGCTGAAATATCTAATAATCACTGAATTTTTCTGTTTTTTTTTACAAACAAGTAGCAAATCTGCTAGATGTGCTTTTAATTTTCACTACACAGCCATGGGAGAAGATGGGGTGGTGGCGCTAGGGGCTGGGCGTCTAAGCTGGCTTGGACTTACCGGAGCATCCAGCACTATGAGCTGCAGCCAGGAGTGAAACAGAAACGTAGAGTTAGGAGAACCCTTCTCTCTCAACACTTTTTACCGTTAGGGTCCAGCTCACACGAGGGCCCGTACAGGACTCATTATGGTAAATGACCTGTATTTAGATTAGTCCTGCAACTCCTCAAGGTGCTTTTGCAACACAAACATTCACTGGTGGTGATGACCTACATTGCAGCTACAGCTGCCCTGGGGCACACCGATGGAGGCGAGGCTGCCACACAGGCACCGCGGGTCCCTCTGACCACCAGCAGCAGCAGCAGGCAAGGAGGGTAACAAGTTTAGCCCAAGAGCACAACAACTGAATCAGCCTGAGGAGAATGCAACCCAGCAACGGTTCACATGCTGGGCCTGATAAACGTCTACAGTAGGTGGCGATAGAACCAGATCTGCAGGCTGCAATTAAACCACAGAAGAAGAAAACAGACTTCTACCCTGTGTTAAAGGTCACCAGTAACTAGAAACTGGAACCAATAATACCTAGCTGCAGAAGTAGCCCCGGCCAAACACGCCCCCCTGTTGATCTACCCCCGAGCTCAAGAACGGCGGCCCTCCCAGCAAACAACACAATTGAAAGAAAATAAATAAAGAAATAGTAATAATGTAGTTAAACAGACAGGACTCCAGGTTTAAATATGAATGTATGCATTTTTTTTGGCCACCCCCAGTGAGTTTGCTGCCTATTAGATGAGGAGTCATAAATGGTCAAATAAACAGCCTATTGTTACGTTTATTTTGGCCAAAAGGCTTGCATGTAGCCCATTAAAAATTATATTAAAAAAATTTGCGTTCATGACGTCTTCCCCCACTGCCAATAATGCTTAATTTTATATAAAAGTGTTTCAGAAAAAACTCACGAATGCGCCATCTATCAAACTATGTCTTAAACGTTCAAATTTATGTACAAAATCTTCGCAAGTTGTAAAAACATAAATCTGTCTTTACCTGAACCGTCATTTCCATCTGTTGCAACACGCATGCGAGTTCTCGTCTTCGTACGTGCACGCGTGTTTTGTACATAGGGGCGCGTTTGGCCGGGGCTGCGTCTGCAGCTAGACCTTACTCACTGGAACAGAACATGAAAGGTGAAGCTAAAGGGATCGAGGGCCCCCTAGTGGCTGGTTCTAGAACATGTATTAAGCCCCGCCCCCTTCCTTGTAAACAAATGGTAAAATGGTAAATGGCCTGTATTTGATATAGCGCCTTCTAGAGTCCTGGAACCCCCCAAGGCACTTTACAACACAATCAGTCATTCACCCATTCACACACACATTCACACACTGGTGGTGATGAGCTACGATGTAGCCACAGCTGCCCTGGGGCGCACTGACAGAGGCGAGGCTGCCGAGCACTGGCGCCACCGGTCCCTCCGACCACCACCAGCAGGCAGCGTGGGTTAAGTGTCTTGCCCAAGGACACGACGACAGCGACAAACTGAGCGGGGCTCGAACCTGCAACCTTCCGATTGCAAGGCGAGCACTTAACTCCTGTGCCACCGTCGCCCCTAGTGGGACATTAATCTTGTTTTTACATAAAAAAAATAACTTTTTCCAAGATACTGGCTCTTGATTCACAAAGCTCTCACCTTGCTGCTGAATGTTCAAATATTATTGTATCTAAGACATTTGGCTGTCATTAGTTATTTGGGACTTTCAAAATAAAACCCCCGTGATTGTGAGTTTAGCTTTCAGCCCCACGTGCAGAACAACATGGTAGCCTGTAAAACCTGTTGGTGGTGATGTTTCAACTTTTTTCATCCTGTTTGAACATAACCACTTAACGCAACACGAGACAAAAGTAGAGACTTCCAGCTTTTAGACTCACAATCATCCCATGAAGAGGCAGCTGTCCATGCACTTTGAACTGATTGGTGGCCGTTACACCTTTGCTGGTGTAGAGCAGCATGTCTGAGAACTGGAACGACATTCACAGAAAGGCTGAAATCCACTTGGGCAATGATATTTATCTCATTTGTAGGTTGAGGCTGTCGTAGTTTTGCACCAACCAGGAAAAACATCCTCTGCTGCAGCCCCTTCTTGGTCAGCTTGAACAGACACCCCTCTCTGATGAACTCCTAAAAGCAGAGAGTGTCTGTCAGAAACAGGAAGTCAGTTTAAAGGTTGGTTTATGCTTGACGCGTCCGCGAGGTCCGCATGGCTCCGTGCGGAAAAGTTGCGTCATTTTGCGTCATTTTAACAACCACGCCCCTCCACCGCGCCTCCGCACGGCCCAAAATTTCCGCAACGCACACCTAGGAAAATTTTTAACCATGCGGACGGTCGGACGCGGAAAAACATGGCGGACCGGCAAGAACTAGTAAGACAGAGGTTGGTAAATACAGACATTTGTATGATTCAGCTCTCAGAGATCACCGTGATCAACATGTTGTTAATAATTCTTGGGGAGAAATAGCTCGCACTGTCGGAAAAGACGAGGACGCTGTTAAAAATGCTGGAATGCCGTGTTGTAAACAGTCATTTTTACTTCTGCTATGGTGTAGAGTTGGATGCATGCCATAGAGCTCCATGCTGCCCCCTACAGTTTGGGAGAATATTGGCTCACCGCAGAGACGAGCCGCACGAACCGTAAACGCTGCGAGTTGTGAAGCGCGTTCCATCCGCGAGCCGCATCACCAAGCGGAAAGTGAATGCGTCAAGCATAAACCAAGTTTTAGCCTGCCTCTCCTCTCCACATGTCCTGGGCTCTGTGACGGTGCACTCACCCTGCCTGGAGCTGTTAAGTTCTCAATCCCAATCAGGTCCCTCTGCAGCTCTGTCAGCTTCTGGAAGTTTTCCAGGCGTATAAGACTGCTCTGAAGCTGTGTGACTGTTTCTGCCACTTCCTTCAGAGCCTCTGAGAGCAAAGATCAGAAAGGAGATGAACTTTTACATCACTTCTTTCCACTAGGACACACTCACAACATAGTAAGACACACTGAGTCTTGAGTGTGTGTATCATGATGAACAAAAACAAAGTCTAGAACTGCTGTCTGTTCAAATGATCCTTGTATGTAACACCACTCCTTTGCCTGCAGGAGATCTAATGAAAGCTGTAGGGTGTAGTAGACCAGCTACAGTTAGGCCTAACTGCTACTTATACATTCAAAACTTTACAATTATACAGGACTTAAAACATCTGTTTGGAAAAGGAAGTCCCTCCTGTAGCTTGTTTCTTCTAGTGACGTCCTCAGCTGACGCTTGAAACTATAGTCCTAAACTGTGATCCTGATCATTCTCAAACACATGAAGACATCAGTTTTCTCCGATTTATATTTGACAATGACAAATCTGATAATGACAAAAACAACAGCTGATTATCTTTACAACTACAGTATAAAACCGAATTTTTACATTTCATAAAAGTCAAGAGAAAACATATATTTTAAATTCCTGCAACAACTGGAGATCAGAACTCTTGAAGCCTTTCATTTGCCCAGTTTTGAGAAAAAGTGTTTGCCCCCTTACTTAGTCACTTGACCTGTCACGTAAACGTTTCTGATCAGTAAACAAATGTTAATATTAGGGATGAGCGAGTACACCACTATCTGTATCTGTGGCTGTACTCGGAATGGGCGTGGCATAACCCGGAAGTGGGCGTGATTTTACCGGAAGTGGGTGTGGTTTACATCAATATATTATTTTAAGTCTGAAATTGATAAGGAATGATCAGAAGTTGATATGTGTATTGTTTATTTGAAAACTATTTACAGAGCAGCCTCAGAATTGAGATTAAATATTTTTGATCACAATAGTAAAGAAACTATTACAGAAAAAGTGTTTCAATAAAACCAGAACATTACTATTTAAGTGCATGGATTAATACATCTGAACTCATGCAGTAGGAACTAGGAAATATGAAATGCTAGAACCAGACACAACTTTATATATATTTTTTAATTTTAATTTGATTAAACTGATTTTTTTCTTAACGTTCTTGGCATTTTGCCCCACACAAAAGTAAACAAAACAATGTTGATTGAGGTGTGTGTGTGTGTGTGTGTGTGTGTGTCAGAGAGATAGAGAGGGTGAGAGGGAGAGAGAGGGAGTAAAAAAATAAATAAAAAACCCGACCGGAGCGGAGGTAGTGAGTGACTGATGCAGCACGTCAGCTCTGTCTTGTCAAATGCACCATGTAAGTTACGAAAAAAGTAACTTTAAATATTCAACCGAAAAAGAGGCGAGCTGAAGAAAACCTGGGGAAAACTGAAGAAACATGAGAAACAGTAAAGCCATCACAACGAGATCCGTTACTGTCTGTGTGTGTGCGTGGATGAGCCGGACGGACTGCGCTCCCGGCCGGCTAGAGAGTTTTGTGTGTAGGGAGGGGCGGGCGCTCTGTGTGACTGGCCAATCACAGAGCGTGAAGACAGTCAGTTGCCCAATGAGGATTTTCCTTCAGCACGATTACAGATATTTACGAGTTTTACTCGTCTCATGCTCGTATTCGTCAAAAATGCTTTATCCGTACCGGATACTCATCTGAAACGAGTATCCGGCTCATCCCTAGTTAATATCAAACAAAATGCTCTTTTAAAATTATTTCATTTAACAAAGAAAAATGGATCCGAACCAACCCTGTCCCTGTCTGAAAAGTAACTGATCCCAAAATGTAAAGACTAAGTTCACTTTTATTTTTCAATACATCTGCAGTGGTCTCTGCTATAAATGCTGTGGGCCGATCTCAGAGGGAAAAAAGCTCTGGCGCTTTTGTTTCAGGGAGTAGAAGTTAAGAGCAGAGAATAGGGGAGCAGAAGATGGAAGGACTCTTATTTTCTGATATTCACACATCTCTCCTCTGATTGGCTAACAGAAATGCAACTCTACCACTGACTTAAATAGACGATGTGTAGTTTTTACTGTAATTCTCTGGAAATATCCACAGAAATGTTGTTGAAAATGACTAAAATGATGACCAGTTGTTAAAAAATATTAGCGGTGTTGTAGCATCACATATAACCCTGAAAATCGGGTCTACAATACATGGAAGTGGGCGACGCCATATTCTATGCAATGTCTCATTCTACGGGAGCCCGTGAGGACATAAAGCATGTACTGATTTTTAACAAACAGTTACAAAACTTGCACCACTTATAAACGTCGTTGTTTTACACATTTACATCTTCAGTTGTTGCCATTGATGAAAGGGAGTCTGATGCGCTTGTCATTTTGCTGGAGGTTGTTCTCCCAGGGATTTTTGACCCTAATGACCATCCATTGGTAAGGTCTTACTCAAACACAAGCATACAGTTTGCCTGCAATGATTTAAGAATGCACTGCCCCTTATTGCCAGTGAAAATATGCATGGTCAGGGGTCTGCAACCGCGGCTCTGGAGCCGCATGCGGCTCTTCCATCCATCTGATGCGGCTCTCTGTGTTTGTAAAATAATGATTGGATATCTAAATAAAATGCTTTATATTTTACTGCATTAATTTTACACCTGTATGCCAATTCTAAATGTAAAGATTGTCTGCGTAAACCTGAACAGGTCCAACCCGGTCTTACTGTGAGACCGGGTTGACGCGTCACGCTTGTGCGTAATCATATCGGCGCTTCCTGAGCTGAAGAGGATGTGAGATTCTGGGATTCTCCTCAGACGGCTCCTGGATGTGTCGCCACATTGGAGACAGGAACAAGCGCTATTCAGCCAAAGTTTCATAATCAGGGAACATTTTCTAAGTGACAAGTCTCGCTTCAGTGGGAGGAATCTTCCTGCAGGCGCTCTGGTTCTGCGACGCGCTCCAAGCCCCTCTCCACATCTTCAGCTCGCTGTGCACCGTACGTACATGCTGACAGCGAGCTGCGCTGAGCAGTGTCCAGCTCTGATGTTCAGATGGGAATCTTTTCTTGAGTGATTTAGCTACATCTGCGATGTGCGTAGAATAAAATGTCAGTTCGTCTGCATGCGTCGGGGTAATTCTTTCTATTCTTTATCCGTCAAAAGAAACGGTCAAATACGGGAACTGTCCGGTCAACACAAGCCCTGCTTTTAACTGTTCTGTTTTCTTGTGAAAATTGTTGCAAAGAGATATAATTTAACTTGATTAACACCAGAGCCAGGCGCACTGCGCCGTTATCTCCGTCACAACTTCTGGATCCACTTTATATAAATCGTTTTATTGATTATCTTCTTATGAAAGATAACTTTGACGTACACGAGTGACTGGTACCGGCTGCTGTCACCTGTTGTGATTGGTTAAAGCAGCTCTCTGCTGTCTGAGGGTAGGCCCCGCCCACAACGCCGCGGCTGCTGTGGCTCCCAGTGTCTTCTTTACTGTGGGAAACGGGTAATAATGGCTCTTTGATGGGAACAGGTTGCCGACCCCTGCTCTAAATCGTTCTGCAACTTTGATGTTTCATCTCCACAAATAACTCAAGCCTGAAGGAGTCCTGCTGTGTGGTGGAGTTACTAATGCTAACAGTTAGCTTCTACTAGTCGAGATGTTCTACGCCGTTTCCTGGACTCTAAACCATCACACCCTTTCCCGTCGTGAGCCATGGCGGGTGAGTCCATGAATGCTAATTTGACATCATGAGGTGCAATCGTCACTGGCTTTTCCATATGGTTAATCACAGCTGATGATACAGAGGCAGGTTGGTTCCTTTATTAATTTGGATCCATGTGTCAAAACAGGTTGTCTGATATTGAAATTATTTGTTGATCTGAAACATTTTAATGTGACAAAAAGGGTAAAAACCAATAAACACTTTCTTACAGCAGAGTGCATGAAAGAGGTTATAGTGATTTCTAACTGGAAGCCATGAAAACACTCACCTTTGCAGTCGTCGTAATCATGGTGCATGGGAGAATAATGTTTGCAAAGTCTCTCCAGGATGAGCTTGTAGTGCATGAGACGCTGGATGGGCTTGAGCAGGAACGTGTTGAGGGGCAGGTAGCACACCTTCTGGAGTTCAAACTCTTTGTAGACCGTCTCCAGCTTCTTCAGCCGCTTGGAGGCCTTCTCCAGCTCTGTTAGAACCTCATCGTGCTTCTGCAGATAGCTGGTGAACTCCTCAGAACAAAACCAAACACAAAGCAGCATGTTAGTCTAAAACATAGAACTGGATGATTAATTTAAAGGCCCCATGTGTGAAATCCATTGAAATCAGGATGAAAAAATGCAACTCTTTAGCGCCATGCAGTTCCTGTGTAGCCTAACCCACACAACGCTTAAAACAAGCTGCTCGACTTCTTTAAAAAAGCATTTATAATTATTGTCTAATGAGCTTTGAAAGAAAAGCGTCTGGACTTCTTTGAGTTGCTTGAAGACGTTTCACCTCTCATCCGAGAGGCTTCTTCAGTTGTAAGGTCAAATGGTGGAGAGTCCCAGATTTACACCCAGTGGGAGTTTCCCCCCAAAGAGGGAACAAAAGACCCCCTGATGATCTTCTACATAAACACATGAGCCAAGGTGTGAGGGTGGGTGTGGGTCCTATTCAGCCAGAGTTTCGGGTGAGCTCATGTGTTTATGTAGAAGATCATCAGGGGGTCTTTTGTTCCCTCTTCGGGGGGAAACTCCCACTGGGTTTAAATCTGGGACTCTCCACCATTTGACCTTAGAAGTGAAGAAGCCTCTCGGATGAGAGGTGAAACATCTTCAAGCAACTCAAAGAAGTCCAGACGCTTTTCTTTCAAAGCTCCTTAGACTACAATGATCTGGATGACTGAGAACCTTCACAGACACATTTATAATTATGACTGTTCTATTGACCTATCAGTTCTGAAGGAAGCAAGCTAGTTCTGTTAAGATCTTGAAGCGGTCACGATTCACACACGGAGGAGGGGTGACGTCAGCCGGGAGGTCAGGTGTTGTGAGAAATTGTGTTCCCCTGAAATATTCTGTCCCCCCGTGTCGGGAGATCGCACTTATGGCTATTTTCACAACATTTGTGATAAAACTTTTACGGTAAAATGATGTAATGTAATAATGTTATGCTTGGGATTTTTTTATCTGTAGTTCCTCCTAAAAACAATAAAAAAGATACAGTAAAAACATTCTTGTTCACTCTTTAGCAGCACGTTTATTTATCATTTTTGAAAGTTATGTAAAAAGATGTAATCTCACTCAGTTTAACCATCTTTTATTTCAGGCAGTTTAGTCTTCATAATGGACAAGAAGTTCTGTGGATTTGGAAATATTTGCTCTTGACTGCCTAAGGGAAACAGAATATTTCAGGGGAACATAATTTCCCACAACACCCGTTTCACGTGGATCACAGCACCTCGATGTAAACAAACTGGCTGCCGCTACCAGCTTGTATGGATAAGGAGCGATCACTGGCTGATCGTTAACTACGGCTGGTGAAGGAGTGTTGGTGAGCCGGGGACACGCTAGAGATCAAGTAAACAATGCCGACTTATCAGCTAATCGTGGCTCACAGCTGGCGTGGTGGAGATCGGCGTCAGGAGCTACCGAGCTACTAGTTAGCCGTGGCTAGAGCCGGGGAGATGCTGTGTATGCTGTGCGTAAACTCCCACCGATTACCAGCCAAAGGAGACCAACGTCTAAAGGTAACGTTTGAGATGAAGCCCTCTGTGTCGGAGCGTCTCAGCAACGCGTGGACAACTACATCGCCGTTAGTAAAGTGTTGTGGAGATAAAGTAAACAATGCTGACTTAGCCACTGCAGGGTATATACAGCAATCCTTAAGTAAAATTTACTACTTTTTAATACTTTTTTTTACTACCTTCAGAATTTTTTTAAAACCATCACAACACTAAATTGCAAGTGTTAATCAGCGACCTATTTACACGTATTTTAACATATATAACATACAAAAAGAATAGACTTAGAGACTCACTGATGTTGACAACATATTGCACATATTTATTTTACTTAGAAGATAAGCCAGGCACTTCTGTTCAGCGGTTCAGACAGTTGACCACGAGGCCTGAAATGATGCAGAACGACCACTGAATATGACGTCATCATTATGTGACCGGATATGCTAAAGTAGGGCTGCTCGATTATGGCAAAAACAATAATCACGATTATTGTGACTGGAATTGAGATCTCGATTATTTAAGACGATTTTTCAATGTATGTAGATTTATTTATTTATTTTTATTCAGTCATAAAACTGCTCAGGGCACAATCAGGGCAAAAATAAACAAGAAACAAGATGATCACTAAAAGAACTCCTGATTCCCAGTATAAAAAGACCAATATACTTACAGCTCATAGTCTATGACCCAAGGGCTATAGACCTTGGTTTAACTCATTTAGGTCTAACCAGTACAGACCCAAATACCAATATCTTGCAAATACTGACAGCAAGAATTATACAGTGGCATTTATAACAAATAAATGCAAATAAATTGATGTTCACAAAATGTTGCATAGCATTTATTTAGTCATGTCAATGTGCTGTAGGAGCATGCACTAGCACCGTGTCCTCAGAGAGATTATTTATCAGCATGAGGAACTTATTTCTACCTTATTTATAAACTATTTATTTACAGGTCCATCAGTTAATGTAATAATTGTCCCAACCCGGTCTCACAGCAATCGGGGCAAGCTGTATGTGTGTTTAGAATGCCGCACGCGCACATTTAGCCATTTTTAGCGGCCCAGGAGCCCGCAGGTGCAGTGTGTGTCACTCACTCTGGTTACTCCAACAGGGAGCCGGCTCCGAGAGCCGTTTCTTTAGCGACTGACACATCACTACATCATTCCCTTTCCTAATGTCCTGAAGAACGGTCCGGAACGCAGGCGGAGTGTTTAGCTAACCTGCAGCAGGAAATGTCGACGACAGTTATCCAGAAAGTAGCTAAGGGCTACCAGAGATGTTTCTGAGGTGTTCGCTAGGTACTTTTAAGATTTAAAAAGTCAAGAAGGGGGTCTGAAAAGCTGCTAGAAATAGCATCAAAGTCGCTAAGTTGGCAACGGAGCGCTTCATTTGTAACTCAGGGCAGCTCAAGTGGGAGGAGCAAATAATCGGCTTGTTTTATTTTTATAATCGTTCAAAACATTTCATTCAGAATATATTTCTATGTCGATGTTCAGAATATGACACCTGATAGTCTGAAAAAAATAATACCTAACTTGGAAAAAATAATACCTCTGAGACCAAATTTAACACTTTTAATGGCCTTAAATTTGACTATTTTTATTTATCACTTTTTAATACTTTTTAAAACCCCGCGGACACCCTGCACTGGCTAGAGGACGAGCATGTTGGGCGAGACGGCAGGCTGCGGGAAGAGAGGAGACTTGAGTAGAAGTACTTTGGAACGGACACGTTGGGACCGGGTCGGGAGTTCTGGTACTGACTCGTTGGGACCGGGTCGGGAGTTCTGCTACTAGGAAAAGACAGATGAACAACATGAGATGAGTTTGGGAGTCAGAGACACTAATCGGAGGCTGGCGTCCAGCTAATAGCGGGGCGGGGGGTCGTCTGAACATATGCGGCTTCCTTGTGTTGGACATGATGAGGAGCTGACAAATTTTATGTCTTTTAATTTAATTGTTTATTATTCAAACTAACGGAACGGTGTAGCTATTCTTTTCTATTTCTTAGTTGAATTAGCAGACTCCATGCTTCCAGGGCACACTGCTGCCCTCTACTGGTTCTTTCAGGTTACAGTCATTGTCCAAACGGGTACCGTGGAGCTCGTATGTCCCTAAACAGCTACTGTATTTTAAGATGGTGGATGACCATGGAGCCTCCGCCACAGTTTATGTAAATAAAAATGCATAATTTCAAGTTGAGAGGAATATTTAGAATTGATGTTGGTGAGAAATATTAGAGAAAAAGGACAAGTTTGTGAACTGGAAACACAGGATTTGATAGTAAACAGGTAAAAATACCACACAGTGTTCCTTTGAGAGCTTGAACGGTATTTTTACCTTAAGAGCACACATGTTCTTCAGCATCACATCACCGATCCTCTGGTGATCACCTTTGGCGTGAGCATTGGAGCGCCCCTCCCTGTGAAAACACACACATTTATAGATTTCATTAACGGTGTCTCTTCAGCAGTTAGGTTCATGTAACTGGATCAGACAGAAAGGACCTGGGAAGAACCCACCAGAGAGCCAGCCTCTGGTCCAGCTCCTTCAGGAAGCCTCTGTGGAACTCGTAGATGGGGTCGATGTTGGAGAAGAGGAGGGTCATCAGGCCCGTGGGCATGGCGTTTTCTTTGATCACAGCGCTACGGAACCACTAGAAGAGCAAAAGGACAAAGTTGCTTATTTTTTCTATAGTAAATAAAAGTGTACAGTCTGTGATCATGAAAGGTAAACTGGTGATGGTATACACATACGCACCATCACTGGTCTGCTAAAAAATCACAGTTCAGCCAAAACATCAACACACACTGTATTTATAACATGATATGGTAAATGGCCTGCTTTTGATATGGCGCCTTCTAGATTCCTAGAACCCTCCAAGGTGCTTTACAACACAATTAGACATTCACCCATTCACACACATTCACACGCTGGGGATGAGCTACGATGTAGCCACAGCTGGCCTGGGGCGCACTGACAGAGGTGTATGGCGCGGTATGGGGGCCAAAATTAAGACTTCTGCCCAGCAGCAGGAGGCTATATCAATTCCGAAGCCAACTACTGATCTGACTAATGATAAGCTGGCGCCGGTAACTGAGAGGCTGGCACTGCTTACTGAGGAATAGCACCTTTACCGGCGTTATTACTAGATACGCTAGGGACTAGCAGCCCTCGGCTGGTCATTGACTGGTTCAAACACTCCCTCTGCTGTCTATTAGCATGGATAGGCTAGCGTTAGCCTGGATGGGCTTGTGTTAGCATTGGAGAGGCTAGCCATTAGCATACCTAGGCATGCCACTAGCTGGATTTCCTACCCCCTTGATGGACCATTAGCATGGATAGGCTAGCGTTAGCCTGGACGGGCTGGTGTTAGCATTGGAGAGGCTAGCCATTAGCGTGCCTAGGCTGGCCACTAGCTGACTAATGACTCTCCGAGTCATGCTAATGGCTAGCCTCTCCGATGCTAATGCCAGCCTATCCATGCTAATGGTCTGTCAAGGGGATAGGAAATCCAGCTAGTGGCCAGCCTAGGCACGCTAATGGCTAGCTTCTCCATTGCTAACACCAGCCCGTCCAGGCTAACGCTAGCCTATCCATGCTAATGGTCCGTCAAGGGGGTAGGAAATCCAGCTAGTGGCATGCCAAGGCATGCTAATGGCTAGCCTCTCCAATGCTAACACAAGCCCATCCAGGCTAACGCTAGCCTATCCATGCTAATAGACAGCAGCGGGAGTGTTTGAACCAGTCAATGATCAGCCGAGGGCTGCTAGTCCCTAGCGTATCTAGTAATAACGCCGGTAAAGGTGCTATTCCTCAGTAAGCAGCGCCAGCCTCTCAGTTACCGGCGCCAGCTTATCATTAGTCAGATCAGTAGTTGGCTTCGGAATTGATATAGCCTCCTGCTGCTGGGCAGAAGTCTTAATTTTGGCCCCCATACCACGCCATAGAGGTGAGGCTGCCGAGCACTGGCACTACCGGCCCCTCCGACCACCACCAGCAGGCAAAGGGGGTTAAGTGTCTTTCCCAAGGACACACAAGAAATGGAAACCTAACAAAGGCCGACTTGAGTTTGAGAACTATCTGGATTTCTGTGTTTCCAGTCCTGCTGATGTAGATTTAGAAGTTCTGCATTAACCTGCTCCAGCTTGCCTGCGGTTTGTTTTTCCATATTTTTGGAAAAGGCCTCTCTCGATTTCTTAAGCCTCTGCAGCTTGTTTTGTTTTGTTTCTGGTTAGCGGCCACGGCCTTCTTACTCTCCTCAAACCAGGTCAGGCAATTCTCTGCCGGAAGCCACGATCGAGCCTGAAGCCTTCTGACTGCTGGACAACCTGCTCTACCTCCTGAGCTACTGCGGTCCCATATGGAGGCCGTGTGCTCTACGTTTTAGACGTTTAGCTACAAATACTCTGGATTTAGGTTCTGCCTAAATGTTTTAGCTTGAAGGAGAAAAATCAACTCATGTGTCTAAAACCTGTTCATGTTCTAAGTGGAAAGTCTTTTCAAATCTTTCTGTCATTCTAGAGTAAATGCTGGATCCAAAGGACATGTTTGCTAAGACAAATCCAACGAGGCAGCCCTTAATCATCATTATAAAACCTATTTTCTACTCTTCTAACACAGAAAGCTCCCAGAGACGTGCTGTTTAGACTCACCACAGTGATGACCTCCAGGTCCTTCAGGTACGTTCGTTCTGTGGTCAAAATCTCTTTGGCAATGAAGTAGGCCTTGTCGATGGGGTATCGCTGAGGAAACAAAATAACATCACTTAAAAGCAAAACGCTGTTTTTCAAAGGAACCGCATCCACTTCTGTGACTTGTGTGTGCTGTAAGGGGGTTGGAAGGGTGGCGAGCCAGCAGTGTACCTTCCTCCTGCCCTCCTCCTCCTCTTCCAACCTGGCAGTGCTGCCCACCTCACTCGGGACGGGGCTCTGCAGGGGCGACGGGGCCTGGCTGGGCAGGCTCAGGGTGGACATCTGGAAGGAGGGAGACAGGCAGAGGGGACCCTTGGACGTGAGGGGTGACAGCTGAGGATTGTCCAACACTGAATCTACAAAAACAAGAAAAGTTGGAATCAAAACCTGCAAATAAGTGCTTAAATTACTCAGTTGGAACCAGGCAGAGTGAAGAGCTCTCCACCCGAACACGAGTGTTTTACGTGGGTGGTTTCAGCAAATTCTAACTGAATATTGAAAAAACTGTTTAGGCTCACGCCCCTTTTGTGTTCTTCCCCACAACGTTTTCAGAAGCTGAATCAAACACACACGTGGAGCTCTTCTTTCATTTGCTGCCACACCAAACACAACAAGTAATGGTTCCCGCACCTTTTTCTCCCCACCATTGTCTCTAAATCCCTCTAAGAGGAGAAGTGCTGGGAGTTAGCTTCTCACACAACAAAACACGGCCGTCTCTGCACCGGGCCACGGATCAGCACAGCTGCCCATTCACTTTCAAAAGAAGGAAAAAAAGGGTGGGTGGGGGAAGACCGAACAGGGAAAAAAAGGAAAACAACTCGCAGCTCGACCCGGAAATAATTGAGAAAACTCATCAGGAATGTGGCTGGTCTGGAAGGCAAACAGGTTGTTGATCTGAAACAGCCCACGCGCCGGGGGGGTCCTCAGTGGGGGTGGGGGGTGGAATGATTTAGCTCAAGGCTTGTGTAAACATGGAGATCACACACACACATACACACACACGCACGCACACACACACGGGCTGAGGAATCTAGTACAAATCCAGCCCAGCCCCCCCAACTACCAGGAGTTTAAAGCACCAACTACCGGGACCAGACGGGTGTCTATCGGGCGGATGGCGCGGCGTTCTTCTGTGATGTTGTTAGAACGAGTTACAAGAACATCGCGTAACTTAATCAGATAAAAAGTGGATGATAAAGATGAAGAGGATCGGATGTCTTCCTGCAGGAATTCACTGTAATATTAAAAACAACACACACTCACGCAAACACACACACACTTGGAGATTCTTTCCTCTGAAATGAGGTCTTTTTTTTTTTCATTTTAGGGTCTAAGTCGTCTAACCGCCGTCTAAAACCACAGGAACCTCTTTTGATGTACGTCTGCACCTCCCAAAAGAATTTTAACTCTGACATTCATGGTGCCCAAAAGTGATTCCTTTATTCTTGAGTCAGACATACAAAACATTAAGTACAGGTTGTTTATGACTAGTATATTATATTTGTATGTACACATGTTCAGGCGTCGGTGCCTATAAGTGCAGTTATTGTTATTAACTCTCAGCCCGTTGGTGGGGACATCTTAGTTGTGAGAATAAAACGGGAACAATAAAATAAAATCCATAAAAGACAAACCCTTTCCTGGAATTAGCTAGCTCAACACGTTTCACAGCACCTGAACCCAAATAAAGGTCATCCTGAAAAATGACAATGAGAAAACATGAGCATCCAGCCACAGATCCTGTTCGGTGTTTCCCCGTCTCACAGCTGATGTTGGGTGTAACTGAACTAAACCCACATCACTGTTCTCAGGTCCTACGCCGTAAAGTCTCCGTCTCGCTGGGCTGAAACTGCCAGCGCCTAGCCGGAGACAATAAGCGGTGTGGGAAAACCACAGTTTTCAGTTCAAATGGAGAATCTGTGAATATGTTTAAAGTTTTGGGAGAATCCCTCGTGAGAACTGTTCACAGAGATGGTTCCGATCTTTAGAAGCGGGCTATGAACGGCTAATATCTTACCTGCTGCAGACGGCCCTTTGTAAGGCCTCAGCTGTGAGAAATACAGATTAGTTCTGATCAAACTGTCACACTGGCGTCAGCAATGGGTCTAAAAAAATTCTCTGCCCAGCAGATCATAGAAAAGCCACTGGAACTTACAATCTGAGATTAATCTAACATTTAACAGGTAGAATTATTATAAAATATAAAGTATTATATATTTAACGTAGCTGCAAATAACCACAGAACTCCGCTGTAATCTGAGATTAATGATAAATATACTAAAAGAAAAAAGTATGGATGGATGAACTGCTCTGAAGAAGATGGCAGAAACCCTGAGAGGCTCCACAGACGAGCCGCTGAGCTCACCTGTCTGGTTAGAGCTGGTGTGTTTTTGTAAAGGAGGCTGTGGGTTAGGGTTATCTACAGCAGGTAAGATGTCGATCACTCATTACCACACCTCAGGGAAACTCCCAAAGGTCTGAACAACTCCGAGTGCTAAAAACCCAGACAATACTCAGAAATCTGACTTCAGGTCCAAACATCAAGTCTTGAACAACGAATTTTCCATCGAAGATAACGTCAGATTCTCATGAATAAATGTCGATGTCAAAATCCTGGGAGAAATGTTACTAGATGTACTGAAAAGTCCTGATTTACTAAAGGCCGAGGGAGCTGAACATCTCTGTGCACGATGAAGCCGAACAGAATTATTTCTGTTATTTTAATAGTGAGAAAACGTTTTTAAAAAGTGCAAAAGACTCATCGACTCGTACGTATCCTCATTTTTCTGCCAACGTTAAACGCAGAAAATGGAGCCGCTTTAACAGGAGCATGTCACCACCACCTACAAGAAGATGTGGAGGTCCTCTGATGTTTCAAAGGCGCACTATTTTATCATCCTTACTTATTAAAGAGCAAGTCACCCCCAAATCAGCTTTTTTCCCCTGATAAACTATACAAATGTGTGTCTAATCGTGCTGCAGACACGTGCAGTCAATAGTTTTGCACTTTAGTGCATTTTAGTTAAAATTTAAATTTTCTGCCTAAAACTGTCAGTGTTGCGCCGTTGTCAGGTAAAAACTCTATACTGCAGTTGAATTTAAATCTGCCATCGCTATTGGCTGAGAGGGATGCTATGATGTAAACTGGTACATTATGATGTCACAATGCCGGTGTGAGCCTGTGTGTGTATTTGTTAGTGGCCCCGCCCTCTCGGTCTGCTAGGCAACAGCATTTGTTGCATTTTTTAAACATGAAGAGGGAGTGAAGTAAGTTTCTTGTAGGGGTGACTTGCTCTTTAATAAGCTGTATGCTGTCATTAACCTTTTAGATAAATACAGGCGATGCATGCGTTTAGTTTAATGTGGTGTTAAACAAAGCAACAGCTCACAAATGATTTACAGTCTGATTTATTCATTCCACACAAAGCATAAATGTTAATTTGGTGTTTTTTTTTTTGTTTTGTTTTTTTCAGATATTTTAAACCACTTTCAGGCTGCGGTTGTTGTTGCAACCATCTCCTTCTGCCAGCAGATGTCAGTGAAGCACAGAGGTTAAAACAAATAGGTGTTTTTGCTGTTTTTGAATGAAATTCAGACATCTATCGGTTTCATTTTAACCCTGAGATAACAGATGTTTGACCACGCACCGGCTAGCACCTGAAACATCCTAGACGTGCAGACACAAAAGACCGTGACATGATTGGACGATTAGACTGCATCTGGCTAAGGCTTTTCCAAATGAGTGTGATGTGTAACTGAAAATCATCACGAAAGCTGTAGTGTTAAATGTTTCCTTTGCTATCATTAGATTGATGAAAATAAAGAAGTTTTAGTTAAAAGATGGATAAAGAGGATTTCCTGTTCATATAGAGATAGTAATGTGTATATTGCTGTTAAAATGATGTAGAAAAATATAAAAACCTTTGGAGTACAGTAATCCCTCGCTACTTTGCGGTTCGTTCATCGCGGATTCGCTGCTTCGCGGATTTTTTCTTTGGAGCATTTTTCAGGGGGAATTCGCAGATTCGCGGTATTTTTCACTGATTCGCTGTATTTTTCTATGCGAAATATCAAGAAATTCTTGGTTTTTTTTATCAATTTCATCATAAAATTGCACTTTTTGTAATAAAACTAAAAAAAAACAAGTAAAAAAAATGTTTTCTTGAGTTTTACCCACAAAAAGAGAATGTGATCATACGATAATTCAATAGGGAGCGTGGTTTCACAGACGCGGAAGTGATAGCGTCGGTGAAACGCCGGCTGATCTAGGAAACCCCCGAGCGTTCGAGCGTCAGCGAAGTGACACGGAAATGCCGGGCTTTCCAGAAGTAAGTAAGATAACTTACTATGAGCTGACAGTTCGTTGGATTGATCGGTAGATTGGAAACTCTGATCATGAATCTGAAGAAACGATGACTGAGTGGTGAGCTGGAAAGGCGACTTCCGTTTATAGCCGCGGTTTGTGACGTAGGTGCGACGTGGAGGGAATCCCCGCGAGGGGCATGCTGGGAGTCCCTACTTCGCAGATTTTCACCTATCGTGGTCAGGTCTGGAACGCATCTACCGCGATAAACGAGGGATTACTGTAAACGAGTTCCTTTTCACGTCTGGGATCATCTGAGCGTGTGCTGTACGTCTTCTCTCTGCAGACTACACGTCGTAGGTGAGAAGGCTGAAACGGGACAGGAAGGTGTCGCTCAAGAACGTCGCAAAAGCAACGGCCCAAGCTTTTAAACTCGACTGTCCCGCCTGCAGAAGGACAGCTGCGAAGTGAAACCGCTAAAGAGTGACGACATCGAAACGTCTCGCACGCCACCGTGATCTCTGTAAGCATCTTCATCTTAAAAGCTTTTGATTTTCATTAAAGTAGTGATTGGAACGGATCTACACTGCAAAGTGCTTCTTTCTGTAAGTGGACAGGCACAGTTTAAGGCTTCGAGTGCTGCAGGGGCCTTACATTTGAATGTGCGGGGGCCCTGAGGGGTCGGCCAGTGCCAGCGGCTGCAGGTTGTGACACTGGAGGAGAAAGCCCTCTATCCCACCGCTTCCTGTCAGAGGGTTACTATAGAAAAGGTTCTGCTCAGGGGGGAGGACGCTGTCAGAGCCCCAGTCGGAGTCGGAGTCTGAGCTGCCGTTCCCAGAGCCCTCGGTGGCAGTGGGCGGGTAGCTGAGCTGCTCCAGCTGCTCCACCAGGTCGCTGAACTGCACCGCGGAGCTGCTCTCAGAGCGGACAGAGTAGGCCGGGAAGTTGACCATAGAGCTGGCCTCGGACTGAACGTCAGACCCCGGCAGACGGAGCGAGGACGTGTCCGGGCATCCGTAGCTCACCGACAGGGATTCCCCGGCAGAGCTCAGACCCAGGTTATCCAGGGAGCTGCACTCTGAGCGGTTGTTAGCTAAGGAGCTGGTCTCGGAATGACCAACGATGCTATCGGGGACAGAATTAGGATTTCCATTCAGGTCCTCAATTCCCACACTAAACATCCTACTCTGGCTGAGGCCAGCTCCGTCCACAAAACCAAAGGGACCTACTTTATTGTCATCATGACCGAAGGAGTAAGCCTCTGCCCCCCCACCATAAAAAGACATTTCAGTGGGATCATCATCGATGAACTCCTCTGAAACATGCAGACCTGAGCTGGGCATCAAGAGCACGGGCTTCTGCTTCGCGCGTAAAAGCTCCTCCTCAAACGCCTCAGGTGTAAGAGCACACTTTGTTTTGCCTGCACTCCCTCCCGCCGAGCCCCCGGTGACCCTCCTCCCATCGTGCTCGTTTTCCTCATTGCCATTTCTGAAGGGCTGCGACTGGGAAGCACCACTCTCCACACACACAAACATGGGGCTGCAGTGTCCTGCTGCCTGATAGGTAGAAGCACCTTGAAACGAGAAGTGGGACGAGGAAGCAGCCTTGACTGGGTCTTCCTGTGGAGGGCTGGGGGGTCTAGCGGCTTGTGGTGGGGACTGGAGCTGCTGAGCGGGTGCAGGAGACTGGCTCTGAGAGGGCAAAGGCTTGGGATGAGACGGCAGTTCGGTCTGTGGAAGGATCCTCGACTTGTGGACAGAATGGAAGGAGTCGGCAGTGGAGGAAGGGAAGCCCAAAGCTCTGGGACTGTCACTGAAGGACAAGGTCTGGAAAAGAGGAAGGAAAAGGGAAAAGAACAGCGTTAACTGACCCATATATGGAGGTTTTCCTCTAAATTTTCCCAAAATGTTTCTCTATTCTCTTACTTTACCTGTATTGGCACATCGGTTGAGAAGGAACGGGCCGACATTCGGATTTTACTATTTCTCCTGAACAAAAACAGACCTTTATGTCAGACTTTTTACACATATATTCACTAGGGCTGCTCAATTAATCGAATTTTAATCACGATTACGATCTGAGTTTTGAACGATTATAAAAAACAAAACAAGCCGATTATTTGCTCCTCCTGCTTGCGCTGCCCTGAGTTACAAATGAAGCGCTCCTCCACAGTGTTGCCAACTTAGCGACTTTGACGCTATTTCTAGCAGCTTCTCAGACCCCCTTCTTGACTTTTTAATCCTAAAAGTACCTAGCGAACACCTCAGAAACATCTCTGGTAGCCCTTAGCTACTTTCTGGATAACTATCGTCGACATTTCCTGCAGGTTAGCTAAACACTCCGCCTGCGCTCCGGACCGTTCTTCAGGACATTAGGAAAGGGAATGATGCAGTGATGTGTCGGTCGCTAAAGAAACGGCTCTCAGAGCCGGCTCCCTGTTGGATTAACCAGAGTGACACACACCGCACCTGCGGGCTCCTGAGCCGCTAAAAACAGCTAAATGTGCGCGTGCGGCGCGCTAAACACACGTGCAGCTTGCCCCGATTGCTGTGAGACCGGGTTGGGGGGTGGGGGGGTGCAGCTGTGGTTGGGACAATTATTACATTAACTGATGGACTTGTAAATAAATAGTTAATAAATAAGGTAGAAATAAGTTCCTCACGCTGATAAATAATAACTAATCTCTCTGAGGACACGGTGCTAGTGCACGCTCCTACAGCACCTTGACACGACTAAATGCATATTATGCAACATTTTGTGAACATCAATTTATTTGCATGTATTTGTTATAAATGCCACTGTATAATTCTTGCTGTCAGTATTTGCAAGATATTGGTATTTGGGTCTGTACTGGTTAGACTTAAATGAGTTAAACCAAGGTCTACAGCCCTTGGGTCATAGACTATGAGCTGTAAGTATATTGGTCTTTTTATACTGGGAATCAGAAGTTCTTTTAGTGATCATCTTGTTTCTTATTTTTGTCCTGATTGTGCCCTGAGCAGTTTTATGACATAATAAAAACAAATAAAATCAACATAAATTGAAAAATCGTCCTAAATAATCGTGATCTCAATTTCAGTCACCATAATCGTGATTATTATTTTTGCCATAATCGAGCAGCCCTAATATTCACACACACACACACACACACACACACCTCTGGTAGGGAGTTCTCTTTGATCCGTTTTCCCTGACATATTCCACCAGCTGCTTCTGCGTCCTTCCACTGGTTAGAAATGATTTAAATCAAAGGTTGAAGCTCGTGCGCCACGATAACAAAATAAAGTTTATTTTTGTGAGGAAATGTGTTTAACGACTACCTGTATCTGAAGGAGGAGCCTCTAGTGAAGAGGATTGCTTTGGATCGGGGTTCCGGCTGATCAAACAAACGGAAAAAGGAGTGGTATTCCACACAGATCTTCCAAAAGTTTTTACACTGGTCTCGACTGGCCATCGTGAATTCCAGAATATCTTGATGGGGGCCCTGAGAGGACGATTTAGAGAAGACAGGATAGAAACACGCAGTGTCCCACATCTTAGATGTAACAGATTTTTTTTTTTCATGGACGCTTACGTGAACTTCCGGGTGGAGTTTGATCAGGAACCGTTTCCTCTTGAAGCTCAGTTTGCGAATCTTTGACCAGTTGAAGGTATTTATTTTTGTGTTGCCCTAATTTAAAAAAAAAAGAACATAAACAATATCGTTGGACTTTTGAGCCACACTCACAGAAGAAAGCTGGTACCACAGCAGTGTTCACCTGGAACACCTGAAGCCCCATGTGCGCTACAGCCAGGTTGATTTTGGTTCCCTCCCGGTCAGCTGCAGTGTGGAAGCGGACGCCGTACATTTCCAGTTTACGGGCAATCTCTAGGATCTGGAAGTCCGACTCAGCAGGAGTCTGACCCCTGGAAACACAACATTAACACTCCTCAGCGACAGTAGTACAACACTGTTAGGTGACACTCTGGTAAGTAAACCAGTATTTTTATGCCAAACAGAAATTTGATCCCACATCCCTCCTAATCTCGGGAATATAACAGGCATTATCTAAAACTGAGTTATTACTACCAAACAGCATGTTAGTATGCACCCAATCATCATTCCAGTCTAATTTGGTTCATCCGTTAAGCAGTGAAATCTCCTTACACCCCCCACCCTCCTGCCCTACTGGCCGTACGGCTAACGGACGAGCCAGAGCAGAGGATTAGGACAGGGAACTCTGTCTGTGATTCCTCACTGGCAACCAAAGGAGGAGATTAGCACCACACTTTAGAGCCGCCTGTGGTCTCCAGGAGCTTTTTCTGGAGGAAGAGCCCAAACAAAACCCCGCTGGCTTTAGAGAGGTATTTAACTGTGCTTCCGTAGAGGCCGGCTGTGGGAAAAGACTACAAACTGAAGGCAACAAAAACACTTCTTGTGGTTGTTACTGACTTCAAACATTGATCACAGATGAGCTCCTACCATGTTCGAACCACAGACGCCGAGCTGCCACTCAATTATAATAGTTGTTTTTAAATAATATCTGTAGGATATAGGGTGAAATCAGTGGTGAACCAGATGTAGCTGAAACTAAACATCAGTAACCTCTTGTGAAGAGACACTGGGTTATATAACCTACAACCCCCGTTAGACAGTTGTTAGGGTTAGGGTCAGCTCAGTGGCCCGGTGATGCGAGGGTCTGCCCTGACACTGGGAGATCATGGCTGTTACGGCCACCAGTTAATGTTGTAGAACCATGGACGTAATTTTGGGGGGGCACGGGGGGACATGTCCCCCCCACTTTTTCCAGAGTCAAGTTTTGACCCCTGCACTTTTTACGATCCAAAAACAATATTACTTTATATTAAATTGACACTAGTTGAGCTCTAGGACCAAGCGGAAAACAACCGTTTGTGTATAAGCCTGTTTCCCATTAGAACATACTGTAAAGACAACCCCCCCCACCCCCCTCCGTGCCCCCCACACCCCACTTCTAAAGTGAAAACTACGTCCATGTGTAGAACCCATTTTGTTTGTATTTTACCTTAAAGTTAACTCTGTGTGTATGATCCAAAATGGGGTCTATGCTGTGGCCGTGTTGTCGGTCTCTGATGTTGATGTTAGCTGACGGTAAATTCTGTGGTAATGATCCTAAAACGGGTCTTAGGAATGAGCTTTAAAATCTCAGCTTATGATTTTATCAACGTTGTATTTTAAAAACTCTCTCTGGTTCAGTAAAACTTTTACCAAAGTTTGAACCAGATGTCTTTAATGTTGGTAAATTGGTCTTTAGATGTTAACCTTTTTGTTCCGTTTTTCATTTGGCATTACTTTTATAATGCCCGCATCAGTTTGCTCACCCATTGTTTAGACAATTAAACACTTTTTAAAATCCTGTCCTGTTTCTTATGTTACCCCTTCCCTTCACACACCTAACATCAGTTGGGTCGTAACAGTGGGTTCAAATCCATGGTTGGGTCATACAAAGACTGTAAAAATGGGACCCATTACATTCCCGCTTGACATTCAGCATTGAGGGGTTCAACTGGGGATTAAACCACCAAAGATTCCTGAGAGCTGCCGTGTCTGCAGCTCACCGTTCCTCCAGTGGATGTTTCACGTGTGGAGAAATGATTTGCTGTGACGACTAATGGGACCTTTACATCCCAGGTCAGAGAAGAATGGTCAGACTGGTTCTAGAGGATAGACGACAGCAGCTCCAATAACCACTAGTTCCTACCAAGGTCTACAGAACAGCATCTCTGAACCACAACATCATGAAGCTTGAAGCAGATGGACTCCAGCAGCAGAAGACCACACCAGAGCTGTGTCCAAATTCAGGAGAACGTGTTCTCCTGTGACCGGTTCGAGCGGATGTTAACAGCAGTGAATTTGGACAGTCTAGCCTTAAATAATAGCCCCGCCCCTACTTCGGTGGATGTCCTCCTGTCACCTAGCAACTAATATTGCACTAATAAGAAGCTGCAGGAATGAAGCTCGCACATGTTTTAAACCGTTTCCTTGTTTTGTTACTGTTTGAAGAGCTACAGCAGATGCACCACTGGCGCCAGCATATTTTATGTGTCAGGCTGAGACGCAACCATATGCTGGTATAGTATTATTTATTTGCCTTTGTTCAAGTCTAAAAGCTCTCTTACCACTTTCATGTCAACTTAAGCTAGCTTCACGACATGAGTTATTGGAGGTACTGAAAAACATGAAAACGCCGCAGTATTTTACATCCATCTGTGTGATATCAGCAGGGCATCTCGGGATTTACAGAGGTGAAGAGACAACTGTTCTCAAAATCGGGGGAAAGAGGAACAGATTTCAAGATCGCATTATTAGCACTCTTTGAATTTGGACTGTCTTTGTCATGGCGCTGTGACGTCATTGGTCTTAAAATTCGACCTCATGAGCCCCTGAATTTGAACACAGCCCAGGTGTCACTCCTGTCAGCTGAGAACAGGAGCCTGAGACTACAATTCACACAGGATCACCAGAACCAGGCCAGAAGAGACCAAATAATCAGCAGTTACTTCCAATGTTTTCTAGAATAAGAAATCAAAATAAAAACAACAGATTAGTTTTACTAAATCTGCTCTTTCTATTTATTTTGTCTTATTGTATAGAATGGCTGACAACATAAAATCATGTGTATTTGCTCAGACACAGACGGGAGTCTTTGTGCTTGTTGACCTGGGAATGGCTTAACCGCATTACTTTATAATTAGATCTGCCACGAAGATGCATTTAACTGGGAAGGTCCTTTCCACTGAATTATTCTCAATGCTTCCATTTTTAGTTCTTTTTTATAACACAGAAATGGTTTTTCTTTACCTTGCTGACAGTTTCGTTTGCCGACTGCAAAACCTCCTCAGAGCTGACGCTGTTGGTGCGTCACTTCCTACTCCGTTTATCCGTTTAGCGTCAGCTCTGAGGAAGTTTTGCAGTCGGCAAACAAAACTGTCAGCAGTGTATATAAGCCCTGTCTTGTCTCAGTGTCTTGTCGGTCCATTGTTGTTGTCAGCATTGTTTTGGTGCTCTGTGTGAGCTTTAGTTCTAGTCTCCAGGTTTTGTGCTCTATGTGAGCGTTTGGTTCTCCTGATTCAGGATTTTTGTTTTTGGCTTCCTGCCCCTTTGGATTTTTGGTTCATCATCCTAAATAAAAGATTTATCTTTGAAACGCTCCTGCCTCGTGTCATCTGGGGTAATCTGCATCTTGGGTCCTAACCACCTCCTTGCTCTCAGCGTGACAGAGGAAAGCAATGACATTATGCCCGAGAAAGTTCAAACAATGGCAAACCTCGTGCTTATCTGGGATGTGTCAACATCACAGTAAAATGGGTCAATATGGTCAAGGCTAATGACATTTACTCTGAGCTGTACTACATAGAACTGAAGAGGCAGTGTAACCCTTGCTGCTGGTAGCAACACTACACCGGTATCTATCCTCGTCATCATACTCATTAAAGAGACCTCCTTAACCTTTATGCTTGATATCAGCAGATCAGGATCAAAGACTGAACTGTGTGCTACTAGGAAGTTTCCGATCACATTTTTTGCTCTCGAGACGATTCCGAGTCATTTGATTTTAACCCTCTGGAGGCAGGCGTTGCAGATTTGCAACAGTTAAAACCTACCTACCTGGTTATTCCACGTACGTATTTCATGAGCATTTTTAAACTCAGAAGTACCCCTGAAGGACTTAGTTGTTCGTCCTTTTATCAAAACTTATTTTGAGCCTGAGAGGGTTAAGAATCTGTCAATAACGAGTCCTGATCCGGTACTTTAGAAATGCGCCGAGGAGACCACAGAACCTGACATTTGCAACCACAGACGCTCATCCAGTGTGATAAATGTACTGATATCTTGGTATTTCTGCTGTCCGTACACAATTTCTTGGAGTCTTAATGTATTTTTTAGTGTTGGCTGGCTTAGCTGAATTGCTGCAGCGAACAGAGCAGGGTCAGTCTTTTTAAGGTGGAGCATCAAGAGTTGAACGCAGCACTACCTTTTCCACCTCGTTGGATGACCAGTTTGCACACATTACATGTTTTCATTACACTCCCTTTGCGGTTTTCTTTAAAAATACATCAAAATTACAGACATTTTTTCACTCTTGAGGTGACAACTATGCTCTGTGTTTGCAAATTTCTACATGCTATGTTGCGCGAATTCCCAGACTACCTTAAATTGTGGGACTTACTGCGTTGTTGTCTATGAAACAAACAATACTGATGTGAAGGGACTTGTCGAATGTAAAACTAAGCCACTGTTTTTCTCAGGATGAATTTAAAAAGTAATGTTTGTTGTTATTTATGGTTAAATATGATTTTTTTCCCACTGGTTTCCTGAAAATCAAGTGATTGGACCCGATTTCCGATCACATGATCGGATCAGAGCATCCCTATGTGCTTTTGTTATAAATGACTATGATTTTACCGGCTGCAGGGAGTTTCCTGCACAGAAACAGAGACTACAGCCTTCATGAATAATAAGCTTACGACTAGTCTGAGAGAACCCAAAACCTAAGTGTAATGTTGCCGTCTTGAATCAGCTCTAATGTCCAAAATTTCACAATTCATGTGACCATCACTTAATAAACTGTTACAGTGCCATTAGGCATCTATTGAACTGAACTCGATGGTTGTTTACAAGAAAATAATTCACCAACAGCAGCAAAAAGTAGCACTTCTGATGCATCCAGGGGTCAAGCCAGACAGGTAGTTGCTAGTGTTTCTGTTAAATAACAACGCAACGGTAAAATAAGGCTGCTGTTTTATGATAGCAGCATTATTTAGTCTTGGCTGCGCTCAGACCAGCTGTTAGCTCATCGCCGCTGTTGGACATTAACCTTTATCTAAACAGAGGCTGTTGAAGAGCTATCTACAACATGTAAGACAGTAACTGAACGTTTACACAGAAACACTCAGGGGAAACTCACAGATGTCTGCGGTGGAGCTCCATGATCCTCTCTTGCACTTTGTCTTGATAAGGCAACAACTTGTTGGACCTCAAAAACTCCCTGTCTGCTACGTCATCATAGTCACCGATCTCCGCTGTGGTTTAGAGACGCACAAATCAAAATAAATATTTTATTTTTTTACTTAACAGATGAAGAAGTTTTAAAAAAACGCTAAAAACAGAAAACACCTTTGATCATGAACATCAGACATTCTTACATTAGATTTATTCTTAATAAAAGTTTCTCATAAATAATTTTTTTTCTAATTATATTTACAAATCAAACATGAACGTACTTGTCTCTATGATGACTTTTCATCACATTCGGAGTCACACAAATAAATTAATAAAAGTAAAAAAACAAATGTTATCGTACACTGGACGAGGTGGGAGGCCAGCAAGGCTCCGGTATTCTCTGTGCAGACCAACCTGCCCTCCATCAGATCTCTCTTCATCTGCAGGGAGAATAAGTACCTGTTGAAAAAAGCAAACAAAAACCATTACATTTTACTGTAGAGCATGTATATTCACAAAGCAATTCAAAAATTCATGAACTTCAGAGGGAAAAAATAGGACAGGCTTAGGTGTACAGTAATCTCTCGTTTATCGCGGTAGATGTGTTCCAGACCTGGCCGCGATAGGTGAAAATCCGCGAAGTAGGGACTCCCAGCATGCCCCTCGCGGGGATTCCCTCCACGTCGCACCTACGTCACAAACCGCGGCTATAAACGGAAGTCGCCTTTCCAGCTCACCACTCAGTCATCGTTTCTTCAGATTCATGATTAGTTTCCAACCTACCGTTCAATCCAACGAACTATCAGCTCATAGTAAGTTATCTTACTTCTGGAAAGCCCGGCATTTCCGTGTCACTTCGTTGACGCTCGAACGCTCGGGGGGTTCCTAGATCAGCCGGCGTTTCACCGACGCTCACTTCCGCGTCTGTGAAACCACGCTCCCTACTGAATTATCGTATGATCACATTCTCTTTTTGTGGGTAAAACTCAAGAATAAAAATTTTTTTACTTGTTTTTTTTAGTTTTATTACAAAAAGTGCATTTTATGATGAAATTGATTAAAAAAAACAAGAATTTCTTGATATTTCGCATAGAAAAATACCGCAAATCAGTGAGAAATACCGCGAATCTGCGAATTCCCCCTGAAAAATGCTCCAAAGAAAAAATCCGCGAAGCAGCGAATCCGCGATGAACGAACCGCGAAGTAGCGAGGGATTACTGTAATGCTCTTTGTCAGGGACATGAGCCGCTGACCTGGTGAACTCCTCCTGCAGTTGCCCGGGGTCAGGGGGGAAGAACTTCACCGAAAGTCTAAACAGAGTATTTGCTGGTCCTGAAAAGGTTAAAGACAGATGATCAGTCAAAAGACACACCTTCATCAGGAGGAAAGTCAAATATTTTAGCTTACTTCGGACTTGCTTTGCAATAGGTTTAGTGGGATCCACCCAAACCTACACAGAGGGATACATTGATTAATTTTAACATAATTTAAAACACAAAGTTTACCAACTAAACTCTGAACGACTCCTGAAACCATTATTGACCCAGATGTATGTAGGTTCTACTTAGACAGTAGTCTTTAAAGGCATACTATGCAACTTTTTCATAGGGCTGCACAATATATCGAAAAATTATCGTCATGGCGATAACAGGACGTGCAATAGGCCCATCGCAAAGCACGTCAAAAACGGCGATAAATGTTTGGTTCAAACATTTCCATCCGTGTCATACATCAGCTTTTTGTAAACCAGCTCTGTTTTTTTGACCAATCAAATGTAGCCCTTCTGATATGCGGCCAATCAGATGGGTCCGTTCACGTAACACGCCCGCCCCCTACGTAGACCCTTACCCCAAAATTCCACTATCTCCGCTCCGCCCCCGCTTTCCGCTGCCGCTCGCTTCCCTTGTTCGTCATGCTGGCTCAGATTAACGAACGCACTTTGTGCTGAGGTTTCTGGAATCAGCGCTGCTTTCAAACGTGAACGTGAGTCCGCTCGGTGTCGTTAAGCAGCTGATAGTAACCGGGCTGACTCCAACACGTGCCGGTGAACCAACCCACCTCCATGTCGCTAGTGTTCCACCGGGTGGTGACGTTAGCCCCAGGCTCCGGTTAGCTTCCAGCTAAAAGGCTACAGCACTCTCCTCCCAGTGCCACCCTGCTAAAGAGGGCCTGGAAAAGTTCCCCCACACATCAAAGTGATTTTTCATTTATGAGCTTTTATAACCTTGTTAATCAGGATAGTTGATTTGCTGCTGCACATAAACTGTCAGTCAGAAGCTCTGCTAGCCGGTTATCTTAAGAGGAGCTAGTTCAATTTGTTAGCTTGTTATCAGAATCATAGTTGCAGTTTCATCATCTGAGCTGCTTTTTAAGATCTAGGTAAACTTGTTCAATTTGGGGTTAAAAACAAACGTTTTCACATATTTTCCATGTAGTTTTTTTTTTTTTTGCCAGTTCCTCTTCTGAAAGGTAGACAATTGTTTTTCTCTTTCCCTCAGAAAATCTTAATATTCTCCTAGTTTGGCCCAGCACAGTTCACTTCCCAGTTACAGCAACAGCCTTATATCATAACCACATAAGTGGAGAAAATGTTCAGTAGCAATGAGAGAATTTGCTGTTGCATTTAAGTGATGTTAACTATTATTTAATATTTAAACTTATTTTCAGATATTTTTATTTATTCAAAAACCCTGGTAAGGGATGTTTTTCTGTATTTGGAGCATCAGAAAAAGTTTTATGGTGGAGGTGATGTTTTAAAGTCACTGAGAAACTGCATGCATGCAGTTTGTTGTTTTGCTGCTAATACAGTAGCGGGTGCAGCTGCTAATACAGTAGCAGGTGCAGCTGCTAATACAGTAGCAGGTGCAGCTGCTAATACAGTAGCAGGTGTTGCTGCTAATACAGTAGCAGGTGTAGCTGCTAATACAGTAGCAGGTGCAGCTACTAATACAGTAGCAGGTACAGCTGTTAATACAGTAGCGGGTGCAGCTGCTAATACAGTAGCAGGTGCAGCTGCTAATACAGTAGCGGGTGCAGCTGCTAATACAGTAGCGGGTGCAGCTGCTAATACAGTAGCGGGTGCAGCTGCTAATACAGTAGCAGGTGCAGCTGCTAATACAGTAGCGGGTGCAGCTGCTAATACAGTAGCAGGTGCAGCTGCTAATACAGTAGCGGGTGCAGCTGCTAATACAGTAGCAGGTGCAGCTGCTAATACAGTAGCGGGTGCAGCTGCTAATACAGTAGCGGGTACAGCTGTTAATACAGTAGCGGGTGCAGCTGCTAATACAGTAGCGGGTGCAGCTGTTAATACAGTAGCGGGTGCAGCTGCTAATACAGTAGCAGGTGCAGCTGCTAATACAGTAGCGGGTGCAGCTGCTAATACAGTAGCGGGTGCAGCTGCTAATACAGTAGCGGGTGCAGCTGCTAATACAGTAGCGGGTGCAGCTGCTAATACAGTAGCGGGTGCAGCTGCTAATACAGTAGCGGGTGCAGCTGCTAATACAGTAGCGGGTGCAGCTGCTAATACAGTAGCGGGTGCAGCTACTAATACAGTAGCAGGTGCAGCTGCTAATACAGTAGCGGGTGCAGCTGTTAATACAGTAGCGGGTGCAGCTGCTAATACAGTAGCGGGTGCAGCTGCTAATACAGTAGCGGGTGCAGCTGCTAATACAGTAGCAGGTGCAGCTGCATTTTTTTGCAATAAAAATGTTATGTTGTAATGGAATTCATGCATTAGTTTTTGTTTGCTTTGAACCCAGAGCAGACGTCACACGCCAGACGACATCAACACTGCATACTTTATTATTTGTTCATTTATCGTGAGTAATATCGATAACGCATTATTAAGCACTGTTATCGAATATCGCAGGTTTTCCTAATATCGTGCAGCCCTACTTTTTCATATTTTTAAATAAATTTCTTGAGCAAGCATGTGCGTAAATCACCCTTTAGGGGGTAATGACATGTCACTCGGACCCCTGTGGCCAGGATACCGCACTTGCAACTTCAGAGTTGGCCGGCCGCTTACCTGTTAGGTCCCACTTTAGTCTTAGTAATGTGGAACTGACTTGCTAGTGCCGGAGTCTGCTTCCAGCATGTTTCCTGCGTGTTTTAGATCATGAACACAGCTGATTTGTTTCATTTAGTGATGAACTGCTCCTCTGGAAACTAATGAAGGCTGAGGAGACATTTCTGCTGTTAGATTAAGGTGTTGAAAAGACTAACGCACAGCAAGGAGATACGTTTCACTTCTGGCTTGACTAAACGACACTAGGGGGTGCTAAATGCAAGCTAAACTGCTTAGTATGCCTTTAAGGCAACATGACTTATACGATTAACTAAGACCCATCAATAACTGAGATGACATTTGATCAGGATGCCTCATGGGAGAGATGTAATGAGCATTCTGTCGGTGAGAGGTCCTGGGGCCGCCCCAAGACATGCTGGGGTGATAATGTGTCTAGGGTGGCCTAGGAACACATTGGGGTTCCACGTCAGGAGCTGCAAAGTAATAGCTAAGTAATAAATGAGGGTTAGCCAATTATTTGATCAATTACTGTGGTGGATTAATCGATTATTGATCATCAATAGCTGCAGCCATACTATCAATGTTGGCACTGCTTTTAAATATTAAATATTCAGTGTCAAAACATGAAACATTCCAATATTTCTGTGTGTGAAAATAGTCTTACATCCCTATTCTATACTGCATTTTCTTGTCTTCTTTATAGAAACAGAACACATTTTGATTGTCGGATGTTTTATCAAACGAACCTAAAACACAGAAGCAAAATAAGCAAAGTTCGCTACTAAAACAGGCACAGTGTGTTTGGCACTTTGGGGTCAAATCTGTTCACAAGCGGGTTTGAGCTGTTAAAAATACAGCTGTGTTCTCTTTGAAGGAGGTCTATGGCTGGGTTCACAGCTCCTGTGTTGGTTTATGAAAACTCTGAGGAGGTATTGCGTCTGACACGCGTTTTGGACAAGTTAAAAATAAAACTAGATTAACTCCATAGAAAACACCACCTCACCGTACGACTAAGGACAGCAGTAAACTAACAGTTTGTGGGAAAAAAAACATGTCATTGTCACCATGGTGTGAACTTTGACCTGTCACTAACTGCACATGCTGTAAGGTTGTCTGCTTCCAACAACGTTATTGTGGTACATACCCAGTTCATCTGCACGTTCTGAAACTCCAGGCCGAAGTAATCACTCTCGATGAGGTTACCTCTGTGGAAAACCTTAGACAGAAGGGTCTGTCCAAGAGCTTTGGACTGGAAGGAAAGGAAAAAATAGATTATTTTCATGGTTATGTCAACAAATACATGTAAAGTTCTGTTACGATGCTACAGCCGGCTCTAAAGCTACATGTAAAACATTTGTTTGCATTAAAAAAGTCCCATTAGTCATCGCAAACCGGTGAAATTACATCTCTGCATTTGACCCATCCCCGTGGGGAGCAGTGAGCTGCAGCAGTGGCCGCGCTCAGGAACCATGTGGTGGTTTCAACCCCCCCCCAGTCCAACCCCTTGAAGCTGAGTGTCAAACAGGGAGACATTGGACCCCATTTTTAAAGTCTTTGGTATGACCCGACTGGGATTTGAACCCGATCTCCCAGTTTCAGGGCGGACACCCCACCACCCAAACATCTTTACTGGGACTGAGGAGAGAAAAAAACACGCTAACATTCATACTGAGCACCGGATAAATGCTGTTTGTCTGTGGTGAATAAACATTTGGCATCTGCACATGATTCACTTCACTGTGTTTTATGGCTCTGTATGTTCCATCTGTTAATTCAAATAGTGCCTTTGACTTGATTAGCTGGTAAACAGCAAAACTGTGTTCTTGCATGCTGCAGCACAGCCGTGAGTGGAGAAAAGCTGCACTCTCAGGCACAAACTCTGCACAAGTTCACTCTCTGGGTTTGTTTTTGACTAAATGAAGAACTAATTACTATGTACTAAGAACACACTACGCTTGAGGTTTGGAAACCCAGTCTGTGACTTTTTGAGAAAATTACAGACTAAACATCTGGTTGTAATGTAAAATTGTATTTTTAAAAGCCTTATAAAAAGAACTGCTATGCATCAGCTAAAGGGAGACATTACAACTCAAAGAGCACAGAGAGATTTACTGTAGTCGGGTCTTTTCATTCCTTTGATGCAGTCATATGTTCTGCATCCAGAAAACCTATAAAGAGCAGGTGGAATCTGCCGACATGCGAGTAAAATAGTAGGAACGTGACGCATAAGGCTCCTATTTACACATCTTATTACAGTTTATCTCAGAGAATAAACACCCTTGTGGTTAAATCGATTGGCTTGTGCTCAAAGGCACGCCGAACAGAGAGCATCGGTAAATCTGAACCAATCAAGTTTGGGTGTTTATTAGGGCTGGGCAATATGGCCTCAAATTAATATCACGATACACTGAGGATTTCACCTCGATAACGATAAGTGGACGGTAACTACAGGTATGCGCAGAAACAAAAGTTGTCCACTAGATGTCACACGTATCACGCCGAGACACATTTTTATGTGACTAAAGGTGGTACAGCTTCTTAAAGCGGCATGAATGTTGCCAACCACCACGCATCTTTTCATTTTTTATCATCCAATTTATTGACATGGGAACAATTATCTCAATAAGAGTCAGAAATTTAGATAACAATACATTTTCAATTTATTGCCCAGCCCTAGTTTTTACTTTAAACTTATATTACTGCTGAGCTCTAGGTAGAGAGGGCTCGACGTTATCGTCACTCATCGTTGTTGGCCTGTACGAAGATTAGTACACAAGTGCACAAGCCCAGTTATTTCCCTTTTGCAGGTGTTCTGGATTCATTAGCAGAACTTTGAGTCTAGAATATTGAACCTTTTCACAATATTCTACCTGTCTGAGATTAATCATCACAGTTATAACAAATAAATGCTTGAAATATCTGACTTTACATGTAATGAGTCTGTCTCATTTATTAGTTTCACCTTTTAAGCTGAAATACTGAAGTAAATGAACTTTTGCATTCTATTCTAATACTTTTAGTTTCGCCTGTATAAAATGTTCTGAAGTGAAGTCATAATACAGGAGTATCTAGTTTGACACCAAAACCTGAAGTAAACGGTTGATTTGAACTGACTGTGACGTTTGTGTATCGGCCATAACGCAACAACACTCCGTTTTCAGACATTTTGGATTACTCATTAACCCTCAAGAGGCGAACTGAACTGAATTCACAGCTATATCATTTGAAATTATACCTGGATCAAACTGAGATAACGTTCTCATAGAAGTCTAATACCATAAAGTCCACAGAAGGGACTGTAAAGTTAAGTTGACAGCAGAAACAACAGGTGTGTAAAATCAAACAGACCGAGACTACAAAACACTTTGTTTCGTCATCGACATGGTGGTGTGTGTGTGTGTGTGTGTGTGTGTGTGTGTGTGTGTGTGTGTGTGTGTGTGTGTGTGTGTGTGTGTGTGGTGTGTGTGTGTGTGTGTGTGTGTGTGCAGCCACATGAAAGACAATGTCAAACAAAGATGGAGGAACATCCTCTTTCATTTCCCACTTTCTGTACTTTTGACTTGTACATGTTCCACCTGCAGAATTAACATATTAATCCTCTCCTAAGGTTAATAATCAAATGTCCTCACTTTGTGCATAATGTACACCCAACTAGACATTTTCCTTCATCATGTATTTGACAGTGAATTTAGACAATTTAATCAAAAAGTTCAAGTGGACATTTGATTAGACACAGGCAGTTTTAGTTAAACGGGTATTCTGTTACACGAATAGAGAAGAAACTTTAATATGGCATTGTTTTCAACTAAATGTGAAAGTTGTGGGACACTCGTTAAATCAATACATCTGCAGTGGTACCTAGTAGAAATTAATGCCTTGCAAGCTGTACTCGGGGCAAAAAAAAGCCCAGAAATGCATGGATCAGCACCGTGTGCTGCTGCAGAGAGTGGCAGGACAGGGCGGTCTTACCCCCAAATTCCACTACCTCCGCTCCGACACGAACGCCGGAGCAAAATCGGTACCGTTGTAGTCAATCAGAGCTATTCCACTACTGCGGCCGTGCTCCGGCAGTGCAGCGCAGTGCACCGCCCTCTGTTCCGGCGTCCGGCAAAAATAGAATCGATCCTATTTTCGCCGGACGCCGGAACACCTCCACAGTAAATGGACAGGAATCACAACCGCCCAACAGGAAAAGGAGCGAGCACAAGTTCCGTTTTTCACAATAAATCGATAAACAAAAGGCGTTTTTTGTTTCATATGCACAGGTTTAACAACTTTTAACAACTATCAATGGCGGCTGAAGTTTAAATGCACAAAAGTAAGCCATAAATACAGTTTCCACTATCAAAGTAGTCACACTTTGTTGATCTGAACACTGCTGATCTCTCAACACAAATGATGGGCAGATTAAACAGTTCATGCCGATGCTTCTCCCACACAACGGGTGTTTGGATATAACTTCCGCGTTTATTGCTCGGACTGTATCGCAAGATGTCGAAAATCCCGCGCATGCTTGTTTGCCCCCCTCAGGTCTCCGCACCGGAGCGGAGCCGCTGTAGAGCGGGTACCAGTAAAAATTGAGTTCGGAAGCGAGCGGCTGCGGAAGGCGGGGGCGGACCGGAGCGGAGGTAGTGGAATTTAGGGGTTATTTCCTGATATTTGGACATCTCTACTCAAAATGACGAACGGAAGCTAATGCAGGAGATAGGTGCAGGAGACTATTTTCAGGTTTTGCCTGCATGAAAAACTCAGAATGACCGATTATAATCAGAAATAATCCTTAACTCAATCACTGCATTGACGACTAAAGCCATCATTTAAAATCCAACTGTTCACTGCCAATGATGACTAAAGTCATCATTTGCATTTTTTTTACTGTTTGGGCGTCGGACGAGCCCCCGCACCGTGAGAACAAACATCTCAGCTCTAAAGCTGATCTTCATCCGGATACGTCACACGTCACGTGATCAGGAAGCAGAAAATCCATGTGTTAGGAGATCGTTTTGGGCCGCTGCTGTAAAAAAGGTGAGGCGCGAACCGGAAAAGCTCCTGCCGATCACAATTCAACAACGGATAATGACAGAACGGATAACGCTCGAAGCGCGCGGATTCTTCCTGATGTAAGAGGTGAGTCTCTGCTTTGTTTGCTTGTTTTGGCGTCGACATCTTCCTAGGGCGCAACTCTTAAAAAAACAGTAAAAACGGTGAGAAACGCTGGCAGTGAAGGACTTTACCAATCAGGAAACAGCTGGCAGTGAATGAGTTAAAAAGGTTTTTTTTGTTAACCACACCTTTAAACAAATAATCTGCTTAACAAACAGAGTAGGACAAAAAGTATAGGTGGGGGGTGTTCCGTGAATTAACTTATTATACGAGAACATCGTCAGTAAATAAAAATTTGGGATATGGGATTGTGGCTTTAATCGTGGCAGCGGAGAGGAACAACATCATATATGACATCAAATCACTATATCAAACGTGATTTCCTTCTTTTGGTTTAATGGTGGACGGCATAAGTTGGAGTTGGTGTTGATTCTATGAGTTTAACAAATTTTCTGTTGTTGATCAAAGTTCATTTTAATTCTTCCTGAAAGTCCATCCAGCATCTACAGCTAAGGCACATCTGTGAAGCGTCATTAAGCTTATGTTCTGTTCACACCCAACTTGTGGTACAGACCAGTTTCCTCTCTGATCACCAGTCAGGTTAGTGGGTCAACCAATCAAGCTGGGAAAGCGGGGATTATGACAAACAGATGTTTCTGTGGGAACAAAGCTTTCTCTCCCTCCGGGTGTGGTGTTTGGTAAAGGGGTCGTACGCAAGGAGTCTGAAAACCAGCCCACTGCCGTTCTCATGCTAAGACAAGGAAAATATGAGATTAAAACACACACAGTTCAAATCCAGGGCTTGGGTGTGCCTTGCAGGACAGGTTCCGCTTGGTTCCACTACCAGTGAATGGTGGTGATCTCAGAGCCTCCTCCTGACAGCAGGGGTGTGTTGAGGCTTGTATTCGGCACAGTGGGACACATATTGTTTAAAACTTGCCACCAAGAGATTTTCCTGCTGATACACATTTAAAAGCTCAGGTCGTTTTAACAAGTATGTGAAGAGAATTTCAAAGAGCCTTATGTCGTTCCTCAACATCAAGTTAACCTCATTCTATTTAGTCACAACTAGTTCATTGTCAAAAACCTGGTTAAAGTCTATAGATCATCATCTAAGTCACAACATCCCAGTCTGCCTAATCTAAT